GGTTGCGATCCGTTGCCGGACACGGAAAAAGACAAAAAAAAAAAAAAAAAGAAGGGCTGAGGCTAGGTTTTATTGTGAAACATTCCCAGTTGTAAAGCTTTTTCATTGAGTTTTAAAAAATCTTTGTTTTGAAATAATGCCACATTTATAAAAACTTTGCAAGAACAATAAAAATAACTCTTTTATCTCTTCACCTAGACTTAGTGGTTTTTAACATGTGCCTTCTTTGTGTGTGTATGTGTGTATCTCCAAAATGCTTGGGATCAGAAGTGTTTTGGATTTTGGAATATTTGTAGGTAGAAGTTTTGCTGAGGGTGAATTATTTATGAGGGTAAGTTGCAGACATTATAACCCTTTATCCTTGAATACTCAAGCAAGGGAATAGCCTGAGAGTAAGGGTATTAAACCAAAGTACAGTAATCAAATTCAGGAAATGGGCTGGCTCACTTGGTTAGAGCATGGTGCTGATAACACCAAGGTCCAAGGTTTGATCCCTGTGGCCAGTCACCCAAAAGAAAAAAAAAAACAAAAACACAAAAACATATTGGGGAAATGTAATGTTAAAAATCTGGTAGAACAGAACATTCATGACAGCGTAGTGAGTGGCTCCACTGTTCTGCCTCTGTGCCTCCCTCTCCAGAGAATGGGTGATGTAATTGCCCATTTATTAATTAATACTCTTTAACCATTTAATTAGTACTGTTAACTGACATGCAGTTTATAATCCAGTTTTGCTGATTGTTTCAGTGATAACTGTCATAGCAGTTATTCTTCATACTCCAGAATCCACTTGAGAATCGTGCATTGCATTCGGGTATCATGTCTCTTTAGACTTTAATCTGGAACAGTTCCTCAGTCTTCCTTTATCTTTAATGACCTTAACATTTGAAGTGTAGAGACCGTTTTTGTAGCATGTCCCTTAGTTTAGTTTATCTCATGTTTCGTCCTAATTAAATTGGCAAGACTACTGTAGAGTGATGTGTCTGTGGTGCATCGCATTAGGAGGGACTGGACATCAGTTGGTCCCAGTGTTGGAGATATTACCTTTTCTTATTTGGCTAAGCTGGGGTCTGCCTGGTTTCTTTATGGTAAAGTTATTATTTTCTCTTTGCAATTAATAAGTAATCTGTTAGAGGCTATATAAATGTCCTAATATACATTTATCTACTAGTTTTAGCATTTATTATTGATTCTTGTCTGAATCTGCTTATTGGTATGGATGCTGGTAAACCCTTGATGATTTTAAGAAGGAATGAAACATAATAAACCTCCTTGAAGCTTTCTTTGCCCTGAGCTGAAATCTCTCTTTCCTCAGCACCTTACCTATCCTGTTCGTGGCACACTCTGGCATTATTATCCTTGTTCACATCTATCTGTGTGCTCTACTAGACTGCAATGAAAGTCTGCTTCATTTTTATGTCACCAGTCTTGCCCATTGCTGACCTTGGTTCAGATTAAGTGTCACAAAGGGTTTGATTCTCTGACTTACCAAGAAATATAAGGCTTTTCTTATTTGGATGGCTGGCAGTGGTGGGTGTTCTTTGAGAGCTAAGGTCATTGTGAGCTTCAGCCTGTATGTTGTCACACATGATGTCTCTCCTTCCAGGATCCAGCTGCAGAAGCCAGGATGAAGGTGGCCTGCATCACAGAGCAGGTCTTGACCCTAGTCAACAAGAGAATAGGCCTCTACCGTCACTTTGACGAGACTGTTAATAGGTACAAGCAGTCCCGGGATATCTCCACCCTCAACAGTGGCAAGAAGAGCCTGGAGACTGAACACAAGGCCTTGACCAGTGAGATTGCGCTGCTGCAGTCCAGGCTGAAGACTGAGGGCTCCGATCTGTGCGACAGAGTAAGTGTCTGGCATCATGCAGTCACTTGGCTTTTGGTCCTCCACGCCCCACTTTTGGGGATTGTACCCAATTGTCTAGAGCAGCACCTCCGCTGCTCTGGCTAGGCCAGATACCAGGCAATTTTCCTGCTTGCTTGCATGGTTGTGGGGTGAGATCGCTCCCAGCCATAGGGCCCAACCATAGGCTTGTCATGCGGCGCCTGCCCATGTGATGCAACAAGCAGTGCTGGGGTCTTAGTTGTGAGCTGGGTTTGAAGAAGCCCTGCTGGCCTCTGCAGCACTGTCTGTCCACATGGCTGGTGTTGACAGCAGCCGCTTCCTCTCCTGGAGGCCAGACTGGACTAGGCCCCAGGTTGTCCATGGTGTGGTAAGAAGAACCTAGACTTGAGAATCATGGTTTGAATCCAGGCTCTGATTTAGACTTTGTAAACCTGGGCAAGTTATCTGACTTCTGCCTCCGTTTCCTCATCTGTAAAATGGGAATGCTGTTAGCACCCCACAGTGGTTGTGAGTGTGAAATGAGTTACTGCATGCATAGTGCTTTGAACCCCACCTGATATGGCATGCCATGGAGGCGAGTTATCCTTATCTGTGAATAGGATGATATCCTCGTCGCAGAGGTGCCCCTCAGAGCTCCTGACCAGCTTTTCTGTCCCCTCCCTGGCATTTCCTCTCCTTACCCTGTGTTAGTTTCTTCATAGCACCTACCACTTTTCTGAAACTATTTCTTCATGTGCTTAAGTGTTTATTATCTGTTAGCTTCACAAGGGCAGGATACCCTATGTGTCCTTACTGCTGTTTTCTGGAGCCAAGAATTGTGTCTAGCACTATGGCTCACTAGATATTTGTGGTAATGGGGAGTTGAGTCCTGCTGTCACAGCCTTCTGCCATCGGTCTTTTGCCTTACCAATACCTGAACTAATTTGTCAAGCTGCAGGGAGAGAAGGAATGTTCTTGGCACCATGCCAGGTGATTCTGTGTATTTTCACACTCTGTCCACACAGATCTGTTCTACAGACGAGGCCCAGGGATGATGCAGGGTTTCGCTCATAGGCATCAGGTCATGAAGGAACAGGGTTTGTAGGTGGTGAAGCTGGTATTTGAAACCAGACTTGTCTTCCTCCACAGCCTGCCCCTCTGCCATGGGGCACCTTGCTCATTGCTGCATTTGTGGCTGTTTCCTGCAGAATTCTGGGGGCTGTAGGCCTGGGAGATGGTGGGGCCTGCTGAGTGGGGGTGGAAGGACCGCTCTCAAGTCCTGCCCTGCTCTTCCCTTGGCCAGGTGAGTGAAATGCAGAAGTTGGACGCACAGGTCAAGGAGCTGGTGCTGAAGTCGGCAGTGGAGGCTGAGCGGCTGGTGGCTGGCAAGCTCAAGAAAGACACGTACATCGAGAATGAGAAGCTCATCTCGGGAAAGCGTCAGGAGCTGGTCACCAAGATCGACCACATCCTGGATGCTCTGTAGCCGCTGCCCGTCATCCTCAGGGTGGGCCAGGGTGCCTGCACTTTGAGATGGCAAGCGGAGGGGGTGGGGGTGGGGGTGTTGAGCATTGAGGCCAGTGAAGACTAGCATTTGTAATTTGCAAAAGGCCTTCAAGGAAGGGAAGCCAGGCCCTGCCTCAGGCAGTGCAAGAAGCTTGTCCCTTGTCCCTAAATCTTTTTTTTTT